GCAAACATGTACATTTTCTAAAACATATAATACTGATGCACCTTGTGAGAAAAAACGTCGTGGGGATTCTGCCTACAACGCGTGAAATAAGGAAAAAAGAAAAATCGTGCCTTCGACGTTCCGACATTTTGTTACCAAAACGGTTCGTTTTGGTAACCAGCGTAATCGAGTGGATCACCAGTGTATATCTTACTTTTCTATGTGCGTATAAATTCATTTTAGCAGCCATATGTTTGGCCATTTTTGCAGCCATTTCAAATTTCTATATAAAGGTATTCTTTAATCACTTAGATTTATCCATGGATGGAATCCGTATTAACCTCTAAAACCCCTATCATGGTCTGCAAAAGCACTTTTTAACTGTTCTTTGAGTTTATATAAATAGTTTACATATTCATTTTGGCACCCATTTTGTGGCCATCTTGGAATTTCATATAAACGATTTCTATTATTACTTAAATTTAGACGAAAATAAAATCCTCAGCCTCTAAAACCTTTTCATGGTCTTCAAAGTCACTTTTTAACCGTTCTTTGAGCCTTTTTTAGCTTATATCAATAGAAACATATTTGTTTTGAGACCCATTGATCACTGTTTTTGCCTCTCATTATACTAAGATATGATTTATTATCCCATCGAACGAAGTTCGGAGGGATATAGGGAACGCCTCCGTCCGTCCGTCCGTCCGTCCGTCCGTTCAAAACTTAGGAAAAACAATGAACTAAAGACCAAGAATAGGAAAAAGAAACCAACAAAATTCTGTAAAATACTATTTGAAAACAAAGCGGTAGAAGTAATCAACATTGCAAATATCTTAAGAGATGAAGAAGTGATCAAGACAATACATTCAAGTATCAAAAATAAGGAACCACCAGGAATTGTCTATATATACACAAAGCCAATAAGGAATAAATTGTTCAACTATAGTGAGATTACAGAAAGTATCGACGAAGGCAACAATACAGGAGAATGTGATTGTAATACATCTGAATTTAAGGATGAAGACCATGGTCATGTCATAACTAACAGGAAATCTGAAGATTATACAAAATTCAAAATTGAGAAAGCTATTTAGTAAAGGTCCTGGCTATAGAGAAAAACGAAACATTAACTTCAGGAAAGCAAAAGAAGAAATAAAGAAAGGAATAGATGAATATGCAATAAGTTGGACAAAAAATGAAAAAGTTTCAAAAGTATACTTTAATGAATGGAAAAATACTGTAATGGAAAAGGTTAAACAAAAGATTGAGTTACTTCAAAATACAAAATTTAGACATATAAAAAATCCAAAGCAGACACTTAAGGACCATAATGCTATAGAAGAACTCAATCAACTCAAGGAAAAATATGCCATTGTACCTATTGATAAGGCAGCAAATAATATTGGGTTTATGTGCAAACAATACTACATAAAGAAGATTAAAGAGGAAATTGGAAGTGACACCTATCAAAGGATAGAAGATAAAGGAGAAGAAGATATAGTGGAGGAAATCAAAGAGACAATGAAAACAAAATTCAAGATTGAACCGGGAGAAGAACAATATATTATATCAAGGATTCATCTTACAATTAAAATGCATAAACAGCCAATTAAATTTAGATATATCATTGGCTCAAAGAAAAGTTCTGTAAAACCAGCTGCCAAAAAACTGACCGAAATTCTTAAACTAGTGCAATATACTAACAAAAGATACTGTGAGAAGATTAAGGATTATACAGGTGCCAATAGGATGTGGATCAGTGACAATAACCAAAATATGTTAGATAACATTAAAAGTGTAAATTTAAGGAAAGGGACAAGAAACATAACCTCGTATGATTTATACACAAAGATTAATCTAACTGACATAAAGGAAAAACTGAAATGGGTGATAGATAAAGCCTTCAGAGGAGGAACTAACCAAAAGATAACAGTAGGTGGAGATGAAGCCAAATAGGGTGGAAAGGCGGATAATAAAAAGGCATATACCAAAGGAGAGTGCAATGATCTAGTGGAAGCAGGGAAATCAATTATAAGACAGAAAATTGGAATACCGATGGGAATCGATCCGGCGCCATATATGGCAAACCTGTACTTATTCAGTTATGAATTTCAAGCCATTGAGAAAATGTATAGGGAAGACTACTCCAAAGTACTAAAATATGCTAAAACTACAAGATTCATCGATGATTTATGTACTATAAACAACGACGGAGAAATGGAGACTGATATGAAGAACATATCTATCCTGAAGAACTAGTGTTAAACAAGGAAAATGAGAAGGATACAGAAACAACTTTTCTGGACATACAAATGAAAATAGTAAATAAACAAATCGCTACAAAACTATACGACAAAAGGGAAAACTTCAATTTCCAAATAGTCTCATATCCTGATTTATCTGGAAGTATTCCAGAAACCAGTCTTATGGAATATTTATATCACAAATAATAAGGATTTCAAGAATCTGCAGTCAACTGGAAGATGCAACAAACAGAGTTACCAGCCTATGAAATAAACTACAATGTCAAGGCTACAGGAGCAACATACTAAATTCGTATACTAAGAAAGCTATAACAAGAAATAAATGGATATGTACTAAATACAATATGCAGGAGAATATCATCATGAAGCACTGGAAAATTAATGAGAGAAGAGAACATTAACAAATGAATATGAATATGAAACAGTATATTCTCCGCAAAGAGGGTAAACTAAGAGGACAAATCAACATAAGACCAACAGTAAGGGGAAGGGGAGAGTTTTCCGGCCGGATCAAAACGTTTAACCCACCTATGCGCAGTCTCAAGTCTGTGGACCCTGAAGAAAGATAACTAACATCGCAATCAAATCAAGACAAAATAAGAAGAAAATGAATGAAGAAACCAATGCAGCAACAACAAATGACGTCCGTCCGTCCGTCCGTCCATCCGTCCGGGCAATAACTCAAATACCGCTGCTCGAAAGCCGATTTTCAAAATGGCCGCTCATTTCAAAATGGTGGCCATTTTAGTGCCAATTTTGCAGTAATTTATGTGCAATATTTAAACTGTAATAGCAATATGTTTTAAATGTAAAAAAATTATATAGGACATTAATAAAGCTAGAAATGTAAATGTCCTATTACACTTATGGTAGAAGGCAGCCATTTTGAAAAGAATTTTGAAAAATGGCCGCCATTTAAACATATTTTACTATAACTCGAAAAGTAGTGAAGCGATTTTGTTCATATTTGGTATGTGAATACTATAAGCATGGCACACTGTCCTATTACACTTTTAATAGAAGTTCATATTTGGTATGTTTCATATTTTATATGTGAATACTATAAGCATGGCACACTGTCTAATGACACTTTGGGTAGTAGGCGCCCATTTTGAAAAATGGCCACTATTTTTACGTTTTTTACTATAACTTGAAAAGTAGTGAAGCGATTTTGTTCATATTTGATATGTGAATACTCATTAGCCTTGCACACTGTCTCATGACACTTCGGATAGTAGGCGGCCATTTTAAAAGATTTCTGTCATTTTAACATTTTTTACTATAACTCTAAAATTAGTCGAGCGATTTTGTTCATATTTGATATGTGAATAGTTTAAGCATGGCACATTGTCTAATAAAACTTTGGGGAGTAGTCGGCCATTTTGAAAAATGGCCACCATTTTTATGTGTGTTATTTTACATTTTTTGTTATAGCTCAAAAAGTAATAGAGCGATTTTGTTCATATTCGATATATGAATACTCATAAGCATTGCATACTGTCTTATGACAATTTTTGTAGACGTTGGCCATTTTAAACAATGGCCACCATTTACAAGTACATGTGTGCGATTTTTCAAAACTTTTTAAGTGGCTACTTAAAAGCATATTTTTTCTTCTGATGACAACTTGGCTAGTGAGCAACCATTTTGAAAATGGTGGCCTTTCTTATTTGTGTTGTTTTATGATATTTGCTGTATATATTTTATTTGTAAAAATGCCAGCCATTTCTGTTCGATGGGATCCGCTACGCTTTGGCATTGCCGTTGTTCTGGTTTTATTTGGTAAAAAGCGCAATAGCAGCCATTTTGAAAAATGGGTCATAACACCCATAAGCTACCACTCCTGCAATGCTATCACATATTTTCTTACTCTGGGGGTATTTACCTTGCCAAAAATCACTATGAGCATTATTCCCCTAACTTGGTACCGATAACCTAAATTTTGGGGTGAAGCTGATGGACTACTTCTAATAGACTAGATGCGAGTAGAAATGATCTTGATTTACATCATTAAATATACAAAATCCAGTCAAAGTGATGTCATATTTGAAATCTACATGTAAAAATACATCTAAAAATATGGTTTCGAAAATTGTTTATCAACCTTGAAAATTTAATATTTTTTGAAAATGTGACTTCTAGTTCGGATTGATTCCCCATAGACCCCATATTACAAAATCACAAAAAGTGAAATATCTTTTCTTGTATATTGGACATATAACATTTTCTTTTACTGGACATACTTTAATTTGCATAACTATTCGATACATAAGGGCTATATGAAATTTGAACCACTAAAACCAATGTAATTTAAGTTAAAGGGAACTTGCTACTATACCCGCCATGCTATCTGACCCGAGCGAGCCACCTGGTGGTGAAACTGTTAACTACCTACTCGCATTTGCGTTATTGGCAAGGCTAACATATATGAATTTGATTTGCATTCAACCTCTCTGTATATTTTGCTCTAGGACATTTACTGGCAACTCAGTTGATTTTGTTTCTTGTTAATCCATGCTTGGATGTGGGGGGGGGGGCAGGGGGTGCTGAATTGAAGATGTTATTAACACATTTTTTATTTACCATGTTAATTTTTCAAACTGTGGATAATATGCCCAGTAGGGTGTCATCCACTTGAAAATGTATTGTCCTAATCTTACTATTGGAAATAAATGAAAAAATAAATAAATGTTTGAACACTTTTGTGCCCTTGTATTTGATATGTAAGTCTCTCAAAAATGGCATGTATGATTCCAGTTGAAAACCAGGTTGAAATCCTACATAACAATGGCGTGAATCAGCTGTTAGAGCTTATGAGAGACTCCTCTGACGAAGAACTCAACCATACTGTGAGGTACATGCTGCAAAACTGTCTTAGTGAAGGTATGACATTCACATTGTTGATTTTTTAAATATTCAAGTGAAAGACAAATCAACATTTTAAAATTTTCTTAGAGGAGGGGAGGGGAATCAAACCATAACAAAATTAACTTAGTTTCTCCATGACTGTTAATAATTGGACACCATAGTTGGATCTTGTTTTAATTATCCCATCGAACGAAGTTCGGAGGGATATAGGGAACACCTCCGTCTGTCCGTCTATCCGTCCGTAAGTACGTATGTACGTACGTCCAGGCAATAATTCAAATACTGTTGGCCCGATTTTGTTCATATTTTGTACACATATACCTAATGGGGTTAGTAGTTCTGCTCAAAAAACCGATTTTCAAATTGGCTGCTCATTTAAAAATGGAGGCCATTTTAGTGCCTATTTTACAGTAATTTAGGTTCTGCATATAAAACTGTAACAGCAATATGTTTTAAATGTCAAAAAGTTATATAGAACATTGATTAAGCTAGAAATGTAAATATAGAAGAAATACATGGCAGCCATCTTGAAAAATGGCTGCCTTTGCACATCATTTTACGATTTTTGCTGTAACTGGAAAAGTAGTGAAGCGATTTTGTTCATATTTGGTATGTGCATAGTTTAAGCATGGCACAATGTCTAATAACATTTTGGGTAGTATGCTGCCATTTTGAAAAATGGCCACCATTTTTACGTGTTACATTTTTTTACTGTAACTCAAAAAGTAGTGGAGCGATTTTGTTCATATTTGGTATGTGAATACTTTAAGCATGGCACAATGTCTAATGACATTTTGTGTAGCAGGCTCCAAAATGGCCGCCATTTTTATGTGTGCTATTTTACATTTTTTACTATTACTCAAAAAGTAGTAGAGCGATTTTGTTCATATTTTATATGTGAATAATATAAGCATGGCACACTGTCTAATGAAACTTTGGGTAGTAGGCAGCCATTTTAAAAAATGGCTGTCATTTTTACATTTTTTACTATAACTCGAAAAGTATTGGAGCGATTTTGTTCATTTTGAAAAATGGCCACCATTTTTAGGTGTGTTATTTTACATTTTTTATTATAACTCAAAAAGTAATAGAGCGATTTTGTTCATATTTGATATGTGAATACTTGTAAGGATTGCATTTTGGGTAGTAGGTGGCCATTTTAAAAAATGGCCACCATTTACATGTATGTGTGTGCGATTTTTAAAAATTTTATATGTGGCTACTTAAACACATATTACTTCTGATGACAACTTGGCTAGTGAGCAACCATTTTGAAAATGGTGGCCTTTCTTATGTTTGTTATTTTATGATATTTGCTATATATTTCGTTTGTAAAAATGCCAGCCATTTCTGTTCGATGGGATTTGCTACGCTTTGGCGTTGTCGTTGTTCTGGTTTAAAGATACGATGCACCCTAGTTAAAACTTATTTTAAATTTTGGACCAGCCACTTTGTGAGTGCTACTGATGGAGTATAGCTTTCTAATAAATAAAAGATAAAAATCTAAGAGTCAAAAGAGCAAAGAGTAAAACATGGTTCAGCACATTTGCATCCTGTGTACACATCCTATGTGTATACATGTAAGGGTTTTAGGACATAAATTTCAAAAGTTCCCCAGGAAAAAATAGGCTGAATGAGTGAAATTTCCATAAAGATATAAAGATATAATTTTTACCACATTAGGCTTGGAAATGATTAACTTTGTACAGAAAAGCTCTTTTTGTCCTTTTATTTAGTTACTAAGTCGTTAAGTTACTCAGACTCAGACTTAGGTAGGTACTAAGTTATTGAGTTAGTTATTCAGTTATTTAGTTACTTTAAAACAATTTTCAACCACAATACCTGCCATTGATTTTATACATGAGAAAGTTCCCTGAAAATGACAGTCTTACTTTTAGCTCACATGGTGAGCTATTGTTATCGCCCATTTGTCTGTCCATCCATCCGTCTGTCTGGCCTGTCCGTCCATCCATCTGTCTGTTTGTCAACACATTGTCAACTAATTCAAAATTTTCCACGACAATTGGAATGGTTTCACTTTTAAGATGTATTTATATAACGTCGTCAATTGTTCTATAAGTGGCATCTCAAAAGCTCGCCTTGTTTCAAAATGGTGGCCATTTTCGTGGCGTCAATGGCAGCTTTTCTGCTCTTTTTGGTTATATCTCCACAAGTTTTCCACTTTTTCAGCTTGTCTTCAGTCTTAACTCAATAAATATCCCATTAATTTGCTTGAAATTATACAGGTTGTACCTTTATTTCTAGATTATCAACAATGTCTACAAGTTTCCGCAAAATGTATGGCAAAGATTCAAAATGGCAGAAAAATCACGCTTTTAGCTCTTTTTTCATCATAACTTCATAATTTGCTTAAAATTGCACAGGTACCTTAATTTTTAAGTTATTAACAATGTCTACAAGCTTCAGCAAAATATGAGGCAAAGATTCAAAAATACATTTTATTGTAGAAAAATCAGGTTTATAGCTTTTTTGTCATAACTTCATATTTCATCATCAATTTGCTTGAAAGGTCCATGTGCAGTATGGCAAGTGATTTTAGTCAGTCATATCTTTCACCATGAGTACTTCCTGGGCATAAATACAGTGGTTTTTATCAAAAAATATGTTTTGTTTCAAGTGAAGTACCCATGATGATAAAAATATCAATCGAACATTTGGAAAAATGATGAATAGGGACCCCATGTCAAAATGTTGGACCTATTTACTAAAAAGAGGATCTCATTTTTCTGATTTTTATTGCATGGAAATATTATTCAAAAAGGGTCTAAAACTTCGTCAAAAGTAGAATGGTATTGAAAGTCTAGTTTTGAAGATATCAATTTTCGATGACCAAAATTATGCTGAAAACGATGGATAGCACAAGTTTTCCCTATGGGAAAATAACACGGGATATGTGGTTTTTAACTTTAACGCATTTCAATATCAATCCCCTTTTCAGAAGTTGTAAATATTGTGTAGAAGAAACTTCTCTATGGTTAAATCGAGATAAACAAGATCCTCTTTTTAGAAAATAAGCCAAATTTCTAAAAATACCCAGATGGGGTCCTTTACCATAATTTTTTAAAGAGTTGGATTGATATTTTACTATCACAGAGACTTCACTTGAAAGAAAACATATTGTTTTCATTAAAACCACTGTATTTATGGCCAGAAAGTACTCATGATGAAAGATATGACCGTCTAAAATCACTTGCCATACTGCATAGCACATGGACCTTTATACAAGTAAGGCAAAATATGTTGCAAATTTCAAAATGGCCGCCACTTTTATTGCAGAAAAGTCATGTACAAAGCTACCTTTCATAATGTGCAAAAAACAAAGAACACTGCAATTCCAAGAGCTTTGAAATCTTCAGAGGATGTTTGTTGCATATACAGCAACTACTAACATTTATTTGAACATTTTACTTTCACAGTGAGAAAAGTTGACTTTTTTTACGTCAAATTGGCATTATCTCACAAACCGGGCGAAATTGGGGAAATGGCAATGACAGGTCAAATAGGCACTATGGATAAAATGAATGTGAATATTAGTAAATATGAATCGCAGTTTTTCTTTTTCGAGGTCCATACAAGAAGTACAAATCCCTTACTTATAATTTCAATGCACGTACAAGCATGTACAAGGCTCGTAATTTACGATTTAAGGTCTGTAAGAGCATGTACGAGGATGGTAATTGAACTCTTTTTCTATTGGAATAATCCTTCAAATCCTACACTAATTATCTAACTAATTTAATACTAACTTATGCAGAAAGTAACATATTTTTATGCAGGTTTCCACTATACTAGTTGACACATATGGTGTCTACCATTGCTTACCCTTACAATTTGTTTTCTAGCTTTTTACTGTTCCATCATATGCATACACACTGGTCAGTATCAAGCGAAGGTAACAACCGTCACCTTTGCATCAAAGATGGCAGAGGGGAAGTGTAGATTTCGATATTTTTAGTTTTCATTGAATTAAACTACTTTATAGTTGATGTTATGCTTTGATATCTGAACTAAATCTGACTTATATGACATGGGAACTATGGAGTATGATAATTTGTTCATATATCATGCATATGCGCCACAGTTCAACGATATCTTCCACTGCTTACGGGAAGGTAACTTGATATGTGAATACTTTATAAGTTGACTAAAATCTTGATTAAAATCATGTATAAAGCTACCTTTTAGTGTGCTTGTGAAATATAATCAAAATGTAATTTTTAATGTACTCTCTCTGCTCTTTGCGAGCACATATAATATTCTAATTAAGCAAACTTTTCAAAGGATACGTATCAATATGATGAACTGAATTCAACAATGTTTTTCTCTTAAAACAATTATTGAAAACTAAAAAAGTATTCAAAAAATTAAAACAAAATCCCCCAAAATAGATAAAAATTAAGATAAACCTTTATTCCATTAACAAGATACTTTTTTAAAATCAACCAAAATTTCCTTTGTACAATTACAATATTGAGAGACCTAAACATGTTGTGTTTATGTCGTTTTGTTCCAATGAGGTTCAGAAAGATGAAGAACCCCAAATAAGCTTTCCGACGGTGTGCTGTATATGTGGCTAGCTATTTCAAATCATTTCTAGTGTTGTCAGTCAGCAAAAATTGTTCAAATTAAGTTCAATGCGTAACAGTTGATTTACTTTTGTTACAAAGGAGATTAAAAGACAAGATAAGCTTTCCAATGGTGTATTACATGTAAGCTTTGTACATGTGGCTAGCTATTTCAAATCATAAGAATGTACATACTGTTGTCAGTTCGCGAAAATATTTCATCATCTATTACATAATGATCCTTTTTCCATATAGCTTTGAAATCTCGTTGAAATCTCGTTTTTAATGGCATTTTAGGAGATCTGCATTTTTAATCACTGAAGACTAACATTTTCTTCTATTTGATGGCATATTTGAATTCTATGTGTAATTTTGTATCAAAACAACTTTGATTTGCACTGTTATTTACCTTTATTCAAATTCTAATGATTTTCTGGTTTTCTAAAAAAGATCGGGCTAAATCCCCATTGACACAATGCTGAAAAACCTTTAAAAGTTCATTTATTTACTCTTATAAGGATCTCAACTTTAATGTGAAATCACAATCCACATGTCAATAAGATCATATAGTTACATTCCAATGTTTAAGTTGATCCAAATAGAATTACTTCTTAAATCAAGAAATAAAGTGACTCTGGCAATATATTTACATGTATTCTAGCCCTACCCTAGCCCTACCAATACCAATGATGCCATCTATTTTCCATTTATATGGAAAAAGGACAATTGGGTACATGATGCGTTACATCTAATTTCAATTCAATTTACTGTATTTTCTTTTTATATTTTTTCACGTTTCTGCCCTCTAGAAGGGATCCATGAATTAAGGCTAGACAATAAGGAATAAATGATAAAATTGTGGCAACTTTTTTATTTTAATTGGCTTCCATTTTCGAAGATTGTTCTAAATCACACTTCCTGTGACCATTAGGCGTATTCCTATAAACTATAATATTTACACTGGTGATCCACTCGATTACGCTGGTTACCAAAACGAACCGTTTTGGTAACAAAATGTCGGAACATCCGGAAGGTACGATTTTCTCGTTTCCTTATTTTACACGTTGTAGGCAGAATTCCCAAGACATTTTTTAACACAAACGTGTAATAGTATTATATGTTTAAGAAATTGTACATATTTGCGAACAAATAGTTCAGAAGACAACAGAATCGTCGATTTACTTCCTCACTTAAGTTACATAAACGGTTTGGGTTAAAAGTGCAGCTCTTAACTGTTTTTCGAAAAACCGTTTATGTAACTTAAGTGAGGAAGTAAATCGACGATTCTGTTGTCCTCTGAGCTATTTTTTCGCAAACATGTACTTTTTCTAAAACATATGATACTGATGCACGTTGTGAGAAAAAAACGTTGTGGGGATTCCGCCTACAATGCGTGAAATAAGGAAAAAAGAAAAATCGTGCCTTCGACGTTCCGACATTTTGTTACCAAAACGGTTCGTTTTGGTAACCAGCGTAATCGAGTGGATCACCAGTGATTTAGTTGTTTTTCGAATAAATAGATGGACAGTAGATGGCTTCTCTATCTCTTGGGATCAACTAGAAACAATGACAGGTTGTTCTAGTCTCAAAATAATGTTCTCTCGTTTGTAAGGATTTTCAATTCTAATTAATAAATATCAGTCAAAACTTGAAAATTGTGTAATATTTTACTGCAGATAAACTTTAAATATGTATTCTCTAATTTGTCTATTAATTAAGGAGGAAAACTTTTTGGGACAATATGCGTCGGTATTATGGCATTCAGTATAACGCCTTTTGGTACAATGCACTTCGGTATAATGGGTTTCAGTATAATGTGTGGACCCCAATGGTGTTATCTAAGTTTGTCAAAGTTCGAGATTGCAAGCAATAGTTTTGGTTGAAAGTCAGGATAAACATTCATATTAGCAATTAACTACAGTAGAACCTCTCTAATCCGAACACCCTTAGGACTGGCCAAAAGTGTGTAATAAGATTTTTTCTAGAAATAACCAGATCTTCAATTTTTCTAATTTTCACAAATTTTTTGTTATACATCAGTATATCTTTCACACCTCTCTAATCCGAACACCCTTAGGACTGGCCAAAAGCGTGTTATAAGATTTTTTCTAGAAATAACCAGATTGTCAATTTTTCACATATTTTTTGTTATACATCAGTTTATCTTTCACCTAGATTTTTTTTCAAAAAAATCTGAATTGTAGAAAAAAAGTCGGTCAACATTGTGGACAAGTGTATTTTCATCTTGACATGTGAGGCGATAATCATGAGTTTCCCAAAGATCAAGTGCCTTCTTTCTAGTGTACACTAGACGAAACAATTACAAGTTCCCTACTCCTGAGCATATACATTTCAAAATCCCCACAAAGTTCTCTGTCAAAATCCTTCCCTCTGGGACATTACCAGGTTTTAAATTCCTCAGCCTCCCTGGGTAGGAGGGGTGTCCCTCAAACCTTTGAAAGGTGCATAACTGTTTGAGCGTCAGTATAGATAAACAGGTTGTCAAATAAGTCCTGTCCCCCTCTACAGCCAAAAGCATGGTACCAAGTGTGATATATCATTAGAAAGATCATGGAAAGTTATGTTGATTGGCATATATCTGATACTTGTCAATCAATGTCACAAATTGCTACATTGTATCAATTGAGGTGACCATAGAATGGCAGTTTCTCGTATTTGGGAATATTTTAAGAACCAGACATCAAAAAAGTCAAAGGATCTCAAGATGACAACATATGTATACGGTAGTTGATTTAACCAATTTGTGTAGAATGGGTTAGATGTATAAAGATTAGAGGGGCAAGGATAGTGGTGACAACTTTTTTAAGTTGAATGAAAAAAAGATTAACCTTTTGACTTATTCTTGCGGTCAAATAATCATCACTTTGACCCAATAAAAGCTGCTGGGGGAGGGCACGCTAAATATTAATGACATCATGAAAATAAAAGGTAAATTTAATCCAAAATATGTAAGGGTTGGTGAGTAATGTAACTTTGGATGATCTCTCCTGCGGTGTATCACTCTAGATATCATCTCTTAACTAGTTGTGGTTTTAGCTGTAGCGGGGGGGGGGACTTATTTGACACCCTGTATAATGTTCATGAATATGATAGATGATAAAAAGGATTTTAGAGTAGATCACAAATATTGTGCAAGCATAGCCTCTCTGATTAATGCCAATAAAAAATGCAAAACAGGTGTAGATTATTTACAAAACAGGAATAGCATTATTATGTCCCCACCACATAGTGTGGGGCCATATTGTCGGCCTAGGCGCATCCGTCTGTCCGTCCGTACGTACGTCCGTCCTTATGTCCCCACCACATAGTGTGGGGCCATATTGTCGGCCTAGGCGCGTCCGTCTGTCCGTCCGTACGTACGTCCGTCCGTCCATCTGTCCGTCCGTCTGTCCGTACGTCCGGGAGTTTTCTCCAAAACCGCTACAGATATCACCTTCAAATTTTCAGGGATAACTTATGAGTGCATACAGATGTGGATGAAACATTTTTAACTCGATACCTACTTCCTGTCGGCCATTTTTAAGTCAAATGCTAAAATCCTTGTCTGCAAACTTTAAGAAAAACGGCTTCACAGTTGCTTTTAAAACTTTAACATCTTGTTCAGCTCACTTCATTCTAGATCTGATTAGGTTTTGGACCTGTTAGCTCAGTCATGTCAGCCATTTTGAATGTCTTAAGAAAAGTTAGCGCACGATAATACTTTGTATCATATTGAATGGTGTTTTTGAGTTTTCATACTTTAAATATTTAGTAGCTTTATAAATAATTTCAGATGTACTTTGTTGTAAAAGCCTATTATATGTTATTGTTAACAGTAGTTATATGTGATAATTTTGTAAGAAGAAATCAGCAAAAACACATAATCACTTTTTTATTGTCGGCCATTTTGGATTTTTCCGTCCTAAAATCTTGTCCGTGAAGTCTTGTCTACGTGTTTTCAGGTTAACCGTTTGGTGGATCAATTTCAAATTTTCAGGGATGATTCTTAGTATAAAAATCTAGATCTGATTAGTTTTTTGGCATTCTGGGTAAATGTCAAGGCAGCCATTTTGGATTTTCCGTCCTAAAATCTTGTCTGTAAAGTCTTGTCTACACGTTTTCAGGTGAACCGTTTGGTAGATCAATTTCAAATTTTCAGAGATGATTCTTAGTATGAAAATGTAGAACTGATTAGTTTTTTGGCATTCTGGGCAAATGTCAAGGCGGCCATTTTGGATTTTCTGTCCTAAAATCTTGTCTGTAAAGTCTTGTCTATGCATTTCCAGGTGAACCGTTCTGTAGATCAATTTCAAATTTTTAGGGATGATTCTTAGTATGAAAATCTAGATCTGATTAGTTTTTTGGCATTCTGGATAAATGTCAAGGCAGCCATTTTGGATTTTCCGTCTTAAAATCTTGCCTGTAAAGTCTTGTCTACGCGTTTTTAGGTGAACCGTTTGGTAGATCAATTTCAAATTTTCAGAGATGATTCTTAGTGTGAAAATCTACATCTGATTAGTTTTTTGGCATTCTGTGTAAATGTCATGGCAGCCATTTTGGATTTTCTGTCCTAAAATCTTGTCTGTAAAGTCTTGTCTACGCGTTTTCAGGTGAACCATTTGGTAGATCAATGTCATATTTTCAGGGATGATTCTTAGTATGAAAATCTAGGAACAGATTAGTTTTTTGACATTCTGGGTAAATGTCAAGGCAGCCATTTTGGATTTTCCATCCTAAAATCTTGTCTGTAAAGTCTTGTTTACATGTTTTCTAGTTAACTGTATGACGGATCAATTAAAAATTTTCAGGGGTGGTTCTTAGTTTGAAAATCTAGAACTGACTAAATTTTTTTGCATTCTGGGTAAATTTTAAGGTGGCCATTTTGGATTTTCCGTCCTCAAATTGTGTTGGTTAAGTCTTGTCTACTCATTTTCAGGATAACCATTTCATGGGATCACCCATTGGTGGGGACATTTTGTACACATTTGTGTTCTTGTTTGTCTTGTAGAATGTCAACAGAAGATGGTTGCTATGTCCAGTTCTAGGCTGATGGCAGGCGGAGATGCTGAGTTATCTTCACTGAACAGCACTGCACATCTTAAGCAAAGGTAAGTATAACTAGATTTTGTCAGACTCCAGATCTAGACTTTTTTTAGTCAAGTCATCCAAAATAAGCTGAGTCATCCAGAAAAAGATGGATGGATGAAAAAGGAAGGAAGGATAGGATAGAATAGGAAGGAATGATAGGATAGAATAGGAAAGAAGGATAGAATAGGAAGAAGGGATAGAATAGGAAGGAGAGGATACGAAGGAAGGGTAGATAGGAAGGATAGGATAGGATCAGAAAGGAAGGATGGATGCATTTTTCAATATTTTCTTCTCTAGGCTACTCTTGACTTTCTATCACACCCTATGCAGACAGAGCCTGTGGGAAATATTGGGTGCGGAGCAAATGAGCGGAGGGTGCGGAGCTAACGGTTATTTTTGAATTTAAATTTGGGATATTTCTGAAACTAAGCCGTTTTGGGACTTCAAATATACCAAGATATGTGTATTTGACACCAACTATCAATAAAATTGTGAAAATAGTAGTGCAATTCATTTTATAGCGACGCAGTATGCCTTAAACATTTCTCAGACCTATATATTTTGAGACTATCCTTTTAATACTCCGGCCTCCCAGCATTCATAAAAAATGGTGTTCAAGATACACTACCCATGCAAATTATTTTTGCATCTTGGAAGCCAGGCAGTATCTGTGTGATTTTATAAAAATTCGGAAATGTTCTTCAGATATGAGCCCCTCTAAATATTGGGTGCGGAGCGGAGCTACGTTTATGGCTTCCAAGATGCAAAAATAATTTGTATAGATAGTGCACCTTGAACACCATTTTTTATGAATGCTGGGGACTCAGTATTAAAAGGATAATTTCAAAATATATAGGTCTGGGAAAGGTTTAAGGCACACTGCGTCGCTATAGAATGAATTGCGCTACTATTTTCACAATTGTATTGATATTTGGTGTCAAATACACATATCTTGGTATATTTGAAGTCCCAAAACGGCTTAGTTTCAGAAATATCCCAAATTTAAATTCAAAAATAACCGTTAGCTCCGCACCCTCCGCTCATTTGCTCCGCACCCAATATTTCCCACAGGCTCTGTCTGCATAGGGTGTATCAGGATACAATCAGATCGATTTTTCTTGAAATTTTAAAACGCCATAACTTCCGAAATTTCGTTTGCAGATTCTGATTCCTGGGTAAATTCTACACTTATTTCATATCTCACACATTAGATTTGGAGAATTTATTATTTTGACCTACTTTCCGGACACCATATCTCAGAAACGGGTCAAAATACTCTCTGACGGCAAAAGGCTATCACTATAAGCTTAATTTAACCTATCAATATACCAAAGAATGTTTTGAAAGTATAGTGTCAGAAATGCAAAAATAAGAAAAAACTATGAATTTGAAATAGATTTTGACCTAGGTATTTTGGTGACCAAATTTTGAATATAGCTGGCTTTTGAGGTCCCTTTGTTTAAAAGGCTTTCATTATATTAATCTATTAAATTATCTATATTATCTATGTTTTAACAATTCATAAAAATCTTTTTTCCCATTGAAGTAACATGGAGCACCAAATTTAGCCTATTTTGGGCTTTCAAAACGCAATTACTTCTGAACCGGAGGTGAAATTGAAATTTGGTTTGCAGATTTGGAATCCTGGGAAAATTCTACCCTTAATTCATAACTCATAGGTTAAATTTAGAGAACTTTTTATTTTGACCTACTTTTGGACACCATATCTCAAAAGTGGATCGAAATACTTTCTGACGGCAAAAGGCTAACACTATTAGCACACTCTTTGCTACATGTATACACAATTTCGAAGAATATAGTTAATCTGTAGTGTCAGAATCGCAAAAATAAGGATAAACTTTGAATTTGACTTAGGGATTTTGGTGTCCAAATTTTGAAGTTAAGTAGCCGTCGAGGTCCCCTCCTTTCATAGGCTTTCATTATTTTATTTTAAGCTGTAATTAGTCTATATCTTGTATTTTACACTTCAAAAAAATCTTTTTTCCCATTGACATAACATGGGGCACCAAATTTACCGATTTTTGAGCTTTCAAAATGTCATAACTTCCGAACTGGAAGTCGGATTGAAATTTGTTTTGCAGATTCGGATTCCTGAGAAAATTCTATACTTAATTCATAACTCAAACGTCAAATTTGGAGAATTTTTTATTTTGACCTACTTTTCAGACACCATTTCTCAAAAGTGGGGCAAAATACTTTCTGACGGCAAAAGGCTAACACTATTAGCACACTCTTGGCTACATGTATACAAAATTTCGAAGAATATAATTAATCTGTAGTGTCAGAATCGCAAAAATAAGGAAAAACTTTGAATTTGACCTAGATTTTCAATATTTTCTTCTCTACTCTTGACTTTCTATCAGGATACCATCTGATCGAGTTTTCCGAAATTTCAAAACGCCATAACTTCCAAACTGAAAGTCGGATCGAAATTTGATTTGAAGATTCGGATTCCTGACAAAATTCTACCCCTAATTCATAACTCATACGTTAAATTTGGTGAATTTTTATTTTGACCTACTTTTCGGACACGCCATAACTTCGGAACCAGAAGTCAGATCGAAATTTAGTTTGCAGATTCGGATTTCTGAGAAAATTCTACCCCTAATTCATAACTCAAACGTTAAATTTGGAGAACTTTTTATATCTCAAAAGTGGATCAAAATACTTTCTGACGGCAAAAGGCTAACACTATTAGCATACTCTTTGCTACATGTATACACAATTTCGAAGAATATAATTAAAGTGTAGTGTCAAAATCGCAAAAATAAGGAAAAACTTTGAATTTGTCCTAGATTTGGACCTAGGCCCTGGACTGGACGTGGACCTAGACTTGACTTGGACCTGGACAAACACTGGACTTGGACCTGGACTGGACCTTGACTTGGACCTGTCAATGGACTGGACTGGTATTTTTTTCAATTTTTTTCACTTTTCTTGACTTTCTATAAGGGTATCATCAGATCGATTTTTCTCGAAATTACTCTATAACTTTCGAAACGGAAGTCGGATCGAAATTTGGTTTGCAGATTCGGATTCCTGACAAAATTCTACCCCTAATTCATAACTCATACATTGAATTTTGAGCACATTTTGGTGTGACCTACTTTCCGGCCGCCATATTTCAAAATCGGTAAGAGTAATCAAAAAATGGATGGCACACTTATGAAACGGCTGTTTCTAAGCTACATGATGAAAAAAAGATGAAGACGTTTCGATAAATAACGACGAAGATAATATACAGAAGGTTGAAAATGTAAGATTTGACCTAGTTCTTGACCTTTGACCTAGATAAAAAATTGAACCAATTTCCGAGAAACTAGATACTGAACCTAAATTGACCATATACAGGTCTTGACTCAATGTCTTCTAGTTAAGGAGAAAACGTGGGTAGAATAATAACTAGATTTTGGAAATTGAACGAAGTTCAATTTCAGACTCCAGATTTAGACCTTTTTTAGCCGAGTCATCCAGAATAAGCCGAGTCATCCAGAATAAGCTGAGTCATCCAGAAAAAGATGGATGGATAAAATAGAAAGGTAGGATAGGATAGAATAGGAAGGAACGATAGGATAGAATAAGAAAGAAGGATAGGATAGAACGGAATAGGAAGAAAGGATATGATAGGAGAGGATAGGAAGAATAGGAAGGAAAAGATACCAAGGAAGGATAGATAGGAAGGATAGGATAAGATCAGATAGGAAGGATGGATGAATTTTTCAATATTTTCTTCTCTACTCTTGACTTGACTATACCATCTGATCGATTTTCCGAAATTTCAAAACGCCATAACTTCCGAATCGGAAGTCAGATCGAAATTTGATTAAAAGATTCAGATTCCTGACAAAATTCTACCCTTAATTCATAACTCATACGTTAAATTTGGCGAATTTTTATTTTGACCTACTTTTCGGACACGCCATAACTTCGGAACCGGAAGTCGGATCGAAATTTGGTTTGCAGATTCGGATTCCTGACAGAATTCTACCCTTAATTCATAACTCATATGTTAAATTTGGAATTTTTTTTATTTTAACCTACTTTTCGGACACCATATCTCAAAAGTGGGTCAAAATACTTTCTGACGGCAAAAGGCTAACACTATTAGCACACTCTTGGCTTCTTATATACACAATTTCGAAGAATATAATTAAAGTGTAGTGTCAGAATCGCAAAAATAAGGATAAACTATGAATTTGACCTAGATTTTGACCTAGGGATTTTGGTGTCCAAATTTTGAAGTTAGGTAGCCTTCAAGGTCCCCTTCTTTCATAGGCTTTCATTATTTTAAGCTGTACTTAGTCTATATCTCGTATTTTACACTTCAAAAAAATCTTTTTTTCCCATTGACATAACATGGGGCACCAAATTTAGCGATTTTTGAGCTTTCAAAATGTAATAACTTCCGAACCGGAAGTCGGATCGAAATTTGGTTTGTAGATTCGGATTCCTGAGAAAATTCTATACTTAGTTCATAACTCTAATGTTAAATTTGGAAAAAAAAACTACTTTTCGGACACCATATCTCAAAAGTGGGGCAAAATACTTTCTGACGTCAAAAGGCTCACACTATTAGCACACTCTTGGCAACATGCATACAAAATTTCGAAGAATATAATTAATCTGTAGTGTCAGAATAGCAAAAATAAGGAAAACCTTTGAATTTGACCTAGATTTTGACCTAGGCATTTTGGTGTCCAAATTTTGAAGCTAAATGGCTTTTGAGGTCCCTTTCTTTTAAAAGCTTTCATTATATTTAGCTGAACTCTGTCTATATTTCGTATTTTTCACTTCAAAAAAATCTTTTTTCCCATTGACTTAACATGGCAGTGTTCTCCCCAAAAAAAAATTTCAACTGGGTGCAAAATTTCAAGTCTGAAAAAATCAGCACTCGCTACGATCACAATATCTCAGTGTAGGTGCTTACTTCACTCATTTTTCAAATCAGAAGTTAAAGTGCAGATTCCAACTGGGTGCCAACTGGGGGGCCTTTGGTTTC